ACACGTTAACTTGAATGATACAATTTTTTTGAGCCCGAATTCTGAAAGGGTGGAAAATGTTACGTCCGAATAGGCTTCAACCTGTTGGTCGAACCGACCTCTGAAGGTCACTGTAGGTCATCTAGAGGTCTAATCCTTCTTTTGACCATTCGGCTGATATCTTAGCTAGGAATGGGTCTTGAACCAGTTGACTTCTATGTTTTTGGGGTCGCTGATCACGATTCAGGTGTCCATATGACTCCATCACGTCTAGAGCAAGGTCAATTGAAGTTCAAACACAGTAACTTGAATGATACAATTTTTTGACCCCGGATTCTGAGAGTAGAAAATTTTATGTGCTAATACGCTTCGACCGGTTGGTCGAACCGAATTTCGGCTCTTTCAAAATCCGGGGTCAAAAAAATTTTATTAATCGGGTGTTTGACCTTCATTTGACCTTGATCTAGACGTGATGGGGTCATATGGTCACCGGAATCGTGATCAGTGACCCCAAAAACATATAAAGCTCAACTAGTTCGAGACCCATTCCCTGAGATATCAGCCGAGAGATCAAAAGAAGGATTTGACCTCTAGATGACCCGCAAATGGTCAAAGTATATCCGGACGTAAAATTATTTTCCTCTCTTTCAAAATCCGGGGTCAAAAAAATCGTATCATTGTATTTGACCTTCATTTGACCTTGATCTAGACGTGATGGAGTCATATGGACTCCGGGATCGTAATCAGCAACCCCAAAAACATAAAGGCCTCCTAGTCTGGGAAAAAGGACTTTTCGATTTCTGTTTGTGGGCCTGTGTAATTGACTAAATGATTGTTGCCACTATACATGAATTCATTTAGTTTTCATGTTTATCTCACCTAAAGCGCACTTAAATATCTATAGTCTAATAAAATTTGCTGGATTGGTTCGCCATTTTCCCCCCTCATTGTCACCCAACTAATCGTGGAATGCACTTCTATGCAGAAGAGTTCAACCTTCACATCATAATCACTCCGATCGAACCATACCTGCGCCCAGCGGTAGCAATCGAACTTTGAGACCTTTGAAATTTTATGCCCCTCTGTATACTGTTTGATTCTACATATTCTCCTGGTATCTAAGGTTACACTTTTAAATGGAGTTCTTAAACATTTTAGTTAAAATTGTATATTGTCAAAATGGAAAATAAACTGTTATTATTATTATTATTACGATAAGTATTATTTCATAAAGTATTTCTAACAAAATGATATAAAAACTAGTCAAGCGAAATTTACATAAGAGAGCATTGCCTAAGTTCGACTACTACATTTCCAGCAGCTCGAACCATTTACTCTCAAAGTCCGCTCAATTTGATTACCAGAATGTTCATTTAACGACCTGCTGACCTGCGGGCTGAGCATTACAAGTGATAAAAGAGAATTTACTTCACTATTTACCATAGTACACTTTAGTTTAGCAGAGGATATTAGCAAAACGCACAATTCAGATAATTTGCCCTAAAAACCGAAGATAACCTCTTCAAAAAGCGTAACTAAGTGTATACTGGGCGTTTCTTCGATCCTTTGCACGGGGAACTTTTTTATTTTTAGAGATACAAGATATATTTCTAGGTAAAGTATTTGAAAAATTTGAATATGTTCTTATTTTTTGGTTCTAGTACTATGTTGCAAGGAATGGGCTTAGAATTTGTAATAGACAGAATTGAAAAACAAAAATTTTCGCGATTAAATAATTGCCTTATTTCCATTCCATACGGAACAAAACATGTTTATGGAGTCACTGAATACGCCTCTCTCGCCCAGACGTCACACAAGAATACAAATGGGAGAAGTCACAGCGGCATGCTGTTAAAAACAAACAAATTATTTCATAAATTCAATCCTTGTTGTCGTACACTCCGTGTATTAAGCTACATTAACCATTTTACACTGCTTTTTGTTCCGGAGCTGCCATTGTTGGCTACCACTGCGACAAGGGATGTGTAAAACTACGTAATGTGGAGGGTAAAAAATTGCAACAATACTGCCAAGGGACGATATATCTTCTTTTTGTATGTAATGTACTCCGAACCGACCTATTTGTTACAAATCCTTGAGTGAACTGGATATACGATTGTGCGAAAGCACTCTCTGCGTCTAAAGAACCGCAAAATTTGAGTTTGTTAATTCGTATCTGATCAGCAAACATTTTTGTTAATTTTTTTCCAAACTGGAATTTTTAGAAAACATTTTTTTAAATTTATTTGAATTAACGTAACATTATCTAGACAATTTTCGTCCCATTGCAATTTTTCCCATAATAAACAAAATATTTGAGACCCTAATCAGAGATAAACTCGTGGGGTACTGTGAGAAATATTACATATTTTCTGATTCTCAGTTTGGATTTCGAAAAACTAAATATAGACTTAAAGCTCTCTTGAAGCTAATAGAAATTTATGTTGAAGGTCTTGATGAGAGAGCATATAGTAATATTACTAAGACTTTTGATTGTGTTCAGAAAAACATTATATTAAAGGAATTGGAGTATTACGGGATTAGAGGTACCTAACTTAAGCTTCTAATATCCTATTTAATTAATAGGAAACAATTAGTTTGTTTACATAATAAAAAATCCACCATTCTTTTTATAGAAAATGGTGTCCCGCAGGGATCAGTATTGGGACCTGTTCTCTTCCTATTATATATTAATGATTTACCATACTTTATAGTCAGGGGACCGCCTAACGGGGTGTCTTGGCCGGTGGGTTTCGATCTGCCGAGGCAAGCATCACGGGCGCAGGCTGGAATTTGGATGGGTGACGTGGCTGTGGCAGGCTACCAGAGACCTGGGTCGCCCAACATTTGCCGCATGCGTGTAGTCCCCGATAAATGGTAATAAAAGCAAGAGCAAAGAGCAAATAAAATCTCTATAACTCAATACCATGCTATCATACATAAACTGTACGAGACTTTGCCACCAAGCCACCCGTGTAGTAAAATATGATGGTTTGAAGAAAAGTACTCGAATAATGAAGGAGGGTGTACAACGGGCCTAATAAGGTCTAAGTGACGCGGTGGAAAAACAATTCCACCACGGTTTTCGACAATACCTGCCCAAACATTTTTTTTTTTTGACGATTCTGTGTGCAACAGACCTGTGTCCAACGAGGATTTTCAGTTGCCCAGTACCTGCAGTTTTGTCTGTTTACGTGAAAATCTAATTTTTGATTATTCATCTCAATTATCTGCTCACAAAATTGCGTTCTTCGGACAAAATCGTCTTCTAATAGTTCATGTATCAATTGAACCTTATAAGGATGATATTTATTTTTTCGGAGTATTGTGACAGATCCCGATGACAAATTACAATTCCTAGAGATTGTCCTAACGGCTACATGGGTATTATTTACAGGTTCTAGTAAAACGTCTAGTTTAGAATCTTCTGATATTTCTGCTGGTCTTCCTTTTGGGTAAATCTCTAACGTATCAGCAAATTTCAATTCAATTTTGCTGACAGTAGATCTAGTAATTGGAGGTCGATCAGGATGAATTACATTAAATAAATTAGATAGTAGAGTTCTTTTAATATCTCATGAGCCGCGAAATGCGCGAAAGGCGTGGCGTATCCCCATAATTCTTCTAATAAGCACGTTGTGAAAACATTGACTCAGAATTAGACCACGTGCCTCATCACAACTAGAAATGAGTTAAGGCGCTCGGGCATCAATAAAGTCAACTGGCGAACGTTCGTTATATATATTTTTATTGTTTAAATTAAAATAATAAAGAATAGGGCATTTTATTATGATATTTGTAATCGGATCAAAGGCTTGTTTACGCTAGATCTCGAGAGAGACTGTGAATAATAGGTGCAATGTTTTTAGGATGTAGAACAATTTAGGCGACGGTCGGAATTATGTTTCTGCGCATATAAAGGTCAAAGCTCATAAGATTTTAAAACATCTCTACTTGCTGAGTATGCACTCAATACAATATTTCTCAGATAAATAAATTTTTTAAATGAAACGTAAAACCGACAAAATAACACTGACAAACTAAACGTCGGTGATAGTATGGTTTTTATTGTCACAAAATACTACATCAAGATGGTCTAGTGGTCAAGGAATGAAAAACGATTAATACGTTTTGTTTGACATAAAATTTGGCATACCAGGTTGTTTTTGTTAGTTTTTAAAAAAACGTTCAAGGTTGTTCAATTTAAACATTTTATTTAATTACTTGTGTATATTTCAAAATATCAATTTTCAAAGGTCATTACTACGAAAACCTCTGATTTTAGAGATGGTATGTTATACAAAGTGTTCAGAATTTATCGTACAATTCAAAAATAGCATAACATACATGATGTTGCATTTAAAAAAATCAATGATGACTGCGTATGTTCTTCTTGAGACACCCTCTATATAGTTTTCTTATGTCAAAAAATCCGCAACTAATAATACTAATTGACGTGTCCGAGCGTTTTTCCAGAAAACATATAACTGCCTGAATTTTAAACGAATTTGTTCGTTTCCTCATGAACGTAGTGTATTTACTTTATAAAATAACTCCAGTTCATCACACGAGATCGCAAGTTAATAAGACAGGAATTCTCCTTTTGTATTCATGAAAGTTACTTTGTAATCATATAATGACCGTTTGTTATGTGAATGAATGCTTTAGTGCCTGCTACCACTTGCCCCACACGTAGTGTCACAATTAAAGGAAGTTTCCATTAAATTTGAATACGACTTAAATTCGAGATTACAGATTTTTTATTACTCCTCGGAGTAATTTTAAGAAAAAGAGGGACGAGATTAAGCGCAAGTCGTAAGATTTCTTGGAATTTTCGCTGATGTAAATAGCAAAAAATTAAAACCCGGGCAACTTTAAGATATTTAATAGGCTTATTATGAAATTAAAAAGCCCAAAGCACAGCTTAAGGACAATATTCAATTAGATGGACTTCTTAATGAGCAGAATAATAGAAGGTTTCATGCTTGTTTAATGTATAAGTACCAACTCGCCCAAATTACTTGTTAACTTTTTGTAAGTCTTTATGCTCAAGTTGATTTTGCTGAATTTCGCCAGAGCTGTGTAATTTCTGGCCCGTTTCTTATAATACAAGTTCTCATTGTCGTCGTTAGAAGACATTCAAAGGGTCTATATAACTATTCACTGAGAATTGTAAACACTAAGATCGCGTATTGTCTGGAATTAATTGGTTTGTCTCTGTTTATTTGGATATTTTACCTTTTGTGAAATAATTGATAATTAAATTTGGTATTAATTCTTTTAGCGTAATTGTTTTTTTTTTTGGCTGAAGTATTAACGTATTTGAATATGTAGTGTATGGAGTAACAAATCAGACAAAAAGCATACTTTATACACTCCACTTTCCCGGATATTGCCGTCACTTTTTCTCAACTACAAGGCCAACGCTTGCAGTCTATCTAGTCTGTGCCACTACTCTTCAATTAGTGTGGGTATTGTTAAAATATATTTCAATGTTATAGGTTAAGAAGTCAACAATCTACACTTTTTAAAATAAAAAGATAAATGAAATAGGAACTAATTGCAGTATGAAGTACATTAATTTTATTGTAATAACTTCATTCGTAATGCGAATTATTGCAAATTAATTTCAATAAATCAAATAATTTACTGTATTGGAGGGTTGTAATCGAGAAGCGGTTTATGTGAGCAGTAGCAGGTGATAATAACTGCATTGACACCAATTTAGTGCTTTTTTAACACTAAAATGTTTCACATTTTAATTTAAAATGAAAGAGTGAAGCTGATTTGTCAGATAGGAATGTGGTTCATGTTATTTGCGTACTCATGTAAACCGATCTTTAAAGTTTAACGGAAATGTGTCTTGTATGGTTGTAGCTTGTAAAAAGAAAAAGCTTTAACTGTACCCTTTTGTTCCAAAATAGAACAAACGACGTTATCCTTAGGCAAACCCGCAACTGATGAACAAGTTCTCCGGAAACAGACCATCACGATCGGGTCGATTTCTACCCGTTTTCTTGTGACAACCAACACCAAGAGGCGACGATTTAAACTTACGGAACGTGTTAGTCTGCATCATATTAGACCGGTTACTTTTTCGCAAAAAAAATGACATTGGAGGAAGTTGAAACTAATTTGAATTGAAATTAATATTTTATTTTACATTATGCAGGGTATAAATTAACTAAAAACTTACTAAATATAAGGTTTCATTTTTGATCACCATTGTATGAATATTCCTATTAAATGCGAAATATGGTTTTGTATATGTAGCATGTATTATGTAAAGTAACAGATTATGAATTAATTATAGTATATTTACGTACCACCAAGGGAAGGTTACCTTTTACCATTAATAAAAAACATAATAACATTGACAATATTATTTTTCAATAAGCGATATCAATGACCTTTGAATGAGTTTTTTCATTAATATATTTTTCTTTACCAATTTGATCGTCAATTTTTATAAATATCAAATAAATTTGGTGCCCTTCAAAGAGTGTAATAACAATGCACAGCCGGCAAAGAAGGAGAGGAAGTAAAGGTCTTGATTTTCTAACTAATCGACGTTTTGTTTATATTTAAAATCTTCTTCAGGGCTTCAGCTAATATCCGCGGGCTACTATGCTCATTTTCTACTCTTGTGACACAATTGTACTAATCCTTTGTTTCTCGAACTTTCTATGGTTTTCTAAAAACAATATAGAACAATCTCTATGCTTCTAAGAACATACTAGAAAGAAACAGAACATATTGAAACATAATGAAACAAATAAGTAAACAAATGTATAAGCAAAGCACACTAGGCCGAATTTCGCTACAATATTTTACTTCAAATAAGTGAGGTTAGGTTAAGTAAAAATTAAATCTCTATTATTGTATCGCAATTACAGTTTTTATAAAAGAAGAGATAAAATAACACGTAAAACGAAATTTACGCCTACATTTGTGGACCGTATAATCAAATACCTTTGGTGATAAAGGTTATATATAGCACTGTATAACCTTGCGGCAGTAAGAACTTAATAAAAATTTAAATTACGCACCCGCAGGTTGAAAAAATTTAAATGAATAATCTAAATTTAAATTAAACCCTAGCGGGGTGTAGCCAACTCCGCATAAAGAAGTGTGCATTAATTTTAGTTAACCGTCCCCTGAATTATCGCGGGAATGTCCAGGAACTAATCTTGACAGTGTCAGCTGCGAATTTATCTGATCTAAGTTTTAAATTAATAAAGACATGGTAGGACACGGCGATGCTGCGCACTTGAATTATAGTAGCCACAAAGACGTTGTCATCCCCAAATTACTTCCTAATCTCCCAGCCTCGTGGCTTTCCTTTGTGTTATGTGTGTGTTTACTCATAAATTTACTGCCGTCGTTAGAAAACTAACTGCTTATTTATAGGCCGGCGAATAAACTGCAGCGTATTAAATGAAAAATAATGGTATTAAGGCCACATAATACCTTTTAGTGGGTTGCTCGGGTATACCAACACTGCTAACTAAAATAGGTCATTAATTCTGTATATTTGAAAATTTATCGCCTCGTAAGTCATCGTTAAGTGTGGACCTTTTAATAAATGCGCTTCCTTATATTCTTCCTAAGTTTAAGTCGGGCCTATTAAAAACTAAATAAAAATCACTCGACGGTAAAAAATGGCCCGTTAAATTTTACATTGATATATCGCTTGGTTCGTGGGTGGTTTCTCTTTCTGAAAGTGTTTCATATTAACAGATACTTGCTGATGGTGATATGTCTACCATCATAAAAGAACCGACAAGCAAAAAATAATTGTAAGATTCAATCGACATACGAGTACCTATATGAAAGACTATATTCCGATATGGGTCATTTTAAGGGAGCATTGTTTAAATCTCTTTCATATACAACTATTTAAGGCTCTTTTGCAGCGAAATTTTCTCATTGGCCTTCTCGGTGGCCAATTCGAACGCCAGATTTAAGTCCTATAAGGATTTTTGTATATAGGTTCATTTAAAAACTTTGGTGTACAATACAACTCTCTAAAATATTCAACAATTCAAGTAGAGATTCTTCAATAGAGATTTTTGAATTACTGTATTGGCGAAAGGGACAAAGCTAGGCAAGAAATTACTTGTAAGAATGTTACACTCTAAAAATAAATATTTATTTATTTATTGTACTTATTTAAATAAATAGACCCTTGAAATAAATAAAGAAGTGTGGATAAAAATATTTTATCCACAATCACCTTATAATCGGATTTAACATTTACATTGATAACACAGCCCCACAAAAAAAAAGTATCGGATCTGATATTCAGACCCTTGTAATTCCATGTATTTTTTTCCGCTGAATCCGAATCTGCCTTCAGATTTGGTCCAACGGGTCTGAGTTTTCGGGAAAATTCACAAAGCAGGTCAAAATTCACAAAAAACGTCATTTACGTTCGACGAAAGTTATAAAAAGTCAAATTATTCTACCAGCTCACTAGACGTATATGTTTACACTCGTTTAATTCCAATTTATCATCATAGAGTCAGACAAGCTGGTCCAATTTCATTCAAAAACAGAAAATAGATCAAATTTTCCATTTTCATGCCATTTTCATGGCATAATTCGTGCTGCAGAGTTCTGGATCCATGTTTTTATCCACCCACCCATTTATGAATTCATACATCTTTATATCCAGTCGTTCATGCATGAATATGCATATTTTCCATCCACATGTACCACATATAAAACCCACCTACCCATCTACCCATCTATCCATCTACTTTTTGTGCTGAGAGATGAAATAACAGCCTACAAGATTGATAATGCAATAAAACTTGTAGATTACTCTACTTTCTAAACAAAAGAAAACGATATCTACAAATCATTCTTATTTTTGTTGCTATAATGTGTTCTCTTTTCTTCAAAGGATCTATGCAAAGGGTTACGCTTTCGTTTAGTCCCTCTATTTTTCGTTTCTCTTTTTTACGTACATCTTTATAAATTATATATATATTATAAATTCAATTTAGTTCTATATCGCCACAACACCACAAAAATATATTTCTAGATAACATATTTTATCAAGATTGTGTCAATCGGAACATGCGTATTGTTTGGGAACTGTAATACCTAATTTAAAGCCCCAGTCAGTCGTAACAACACCCCTATCCCGGATATTTGATATCGAAAACTGATCTCCCTTTGTTTTACAGAAAGAGTGACTAAATGAACACTTACAAAAAGTTATATCAACATAGGTATCTTGCGTCCCCCCATATCTTTTTGTTATATGAAAACTGGGGTTGGTTTGCAACTGTTAAATAACGCATGCAGACTGCCAAATATCCTCAGGTTGCCGGGATAGACGGTGTCCCGGCATAACGCCAAATGGGGCGTTCCAAAACCGCTACACGTCCTTTTTCTTCTCTTTCGTCCTTCTTTGTTCGTTGCTTCGCTGCATGGCTGTGTATTTTTTATTTAGAAACTTACTGACCTGAACGTGTTTGTCGCTTTTATTTTTATTTTTTTTTCTTTTAAATTATTTCAAATCATAGGTATACTCTTGAAGATTGTTGGATGCATCGTTTTTTAAATGAACATTAATTTGGAATAAATAGTATATATAGTTTTGTTACTTTTCAACATATATTTTGAATGCGAAGATTTTGCTTATTTATGACCATATAAATGTCTTTTTTTGTCAATTCATGACATAGAATCTCCCAAAAAAAAATAAGTTATATCCTATACAAGGTGTTATAAAAAGTCTAGGTTAAACTGTTTTTAAAACTGATTTATTTGGGGGTTACCCTTTGAGCAGATGAACCTCTTTGAGTGTAATTTCAATGTAAATTTAAACACGTATTTTTTACAACTTATTTTTATATTTTGTAATAATATTGACAAAAATTTATTTAGTAAGTTATCTTTTAAAATTTAAAATTTTTCTTTTAACGAATAAAACGAATGTTTTTCTATACGAACCCTTAGAATTCATTACGCAGATTCTCTCGCTTTACTGTCACATACTTTTTTTATTGCGTACGTCATCCCCAACCTTGCGGTTTTATATTTCTCTCTTTTATTATTGTTAGGCGTTTTTAGAAGTAGGTGTCTAAACCCAATATACACATAAGAACCATATTTCAAGAGAGAGG